AGGCAAGTGTCATAGGGTGCAGGGACCGTTGGTGCTGTGGGTCCAGCGCTCCAGGGACAGTAGGCAGTCTGACGCCAGCTGAGCAGATGACTTGAGGATACAGCATCCCTGAGCTGAGCCCAGAGACCTGAGCCTAGGGGGCTGGGAGGGCAGGACGCAGGGCAGCTGGCAGTGGGGGCAGAGCAGGGAGTCCTACAGGAGAGCGGGCTGGGGGCCCCCCTGGGGTGTGCGGAGGGCCCAGGGCAGGAGAGAAGGGGCACAAGGGCAGGGACGACTCAGGCCTGAGACGGTGAATCGGAGCTCAGATGGGCAGAGGCTAGACACTCGATAGACAGGAAGCCCGGGCTCAGCTGAGGGGCCAGGATGAGGGGTGGAGGCAGGTGAGGGAGCATCTAGATGAGGGGAACCTGAGTGCCCTGAGAAAGGAGAGCAGCCTTTCCGCTGGGGCTCAGGGGGCTGGTAAGGCCGGGCGCAGGGGGCTACCCCAAGAATTCAGGGGAGCAGGCGGGGTTGTGCAGGGCAGCAGGGGGCTGCGAGGGCAGGGGCTGCCCCAGGTGTGCCAGAGTCAGAGGAAGAAAGGCGGAGGAAAAGGGAGCCCTGATCTGCTGGGAGGGGCTTTGTGGATGGCAAGGCCGGGTGGAGAGGGAACCTGGGAGTGCAGGTCTCTGGGGCTGAAGGGGCACGGGCGACCCTGAGGGGACCCAATGGGCCGCAGTTCTTGTATCCAGGGTCCCAACCCTGTTCCAGGAGACTGTAGGAGCTGGGACAGGAGGGGTGAATGTGCAGAAGCGAGGTGGGGTTGACAGGGCAGTGGACCTGGCAGAGGGGAAACGAGGGGCTCTTTGGGGGCTCAGACGGGTCTGCATACCTGGGCTGCGCAGAGCAGGGTCAGAGGGGACAGGTCCAGCCGGGGAATGGGGCTTGGGGTGCTAGCACCCTGCAGGAGGAGAAGGCCAGGGGCAGTGCAAGGCTCCCAGGGATGCCAATGGGCAGAGCTGATACAGAACACACAGGCCCTGGGTGGCAAAGAGCAGGCCAGGACAAGGGGACAGGAGCAGAGCAGGGCAGTGGGCTCAGGGAGCAGTAGCCACTGGTCAGGGCTCAGACCGAGGGCCTGATCAGGCCAGACACCCACAGGAGGGTAGGGGCCCCGGGGATCTGTTAGACCCTGGGCTCAGTGGTCACCCAGCACTGGCCCCCAGCTATGTCTGGAGCCCACAGCTGCAGACGCAGGGACCTGGGGTGGGAGACAGCCATGCTGGGCCGCTGGTCTTCAGACACGCTGGAAGCACAAGGTCACTGGGCTCAGCAATGGCCCAGGCCTGCACGCCTGATGCCCTGCCTGGACCCTCGCAGGGGTGAGGCCCTGGCAGTCACACGGCCTCCTCTCTCACAGCCTCCGTCACGGCCCCAGCAGTCTACCCTCTGGATCCCAGCTGTGGGAGCACAACCGGCTCCACAGTGGTCGTGGGCTGCCTGGTCTCGAGCTACGTCCCTGAGCCAGTGACCGTGACCTGGAACTCGGGCACCCAATCCAGCAACGTGCACACCTTCCCATCCGTCCGAGGGTCCTCGGGGCTCTACTCTCTCAGCAGCACTGTGACCGTGCCTGCCAGCACCTCGTCTGGCAAGACCTTCACCTGCAACGTAGCCCACCCGGCCAGCAGCACCAAGGTGGACAAGAGCATCGGTGAGAGGACGGGCCGCAGGCAGGGTGTCCACTACGAGACAGGCCCGGGGTCAGCCCTCCCACCTGAATGGACCGCACACCAGGGATGGTGAATCCCGCCCAGGGTGTCACGGGAGGCCTGTCTCTCTCCCTCACCTGAAGGCCTCCCAGGCTCAGGGAGGGGGTCCTCTGGGCATTTCCACCAGATCTAGTGTGGGCACAGGCTGGATGCCTCCCCCAGCCCCTGGGGCCACAGAGGTGGGCACAGGTCTCACCTGCCAAAACCTGTCCCTGCCCTAAGCCCAGCCCTGGGCCGTCCCCAACCCCGGTAACCTCCAGTCTGTTCTCTGCAGAGATCAAGCCAACCACAACTCCCGAACGCCCCCAGTGTCCTGAATGCCTCAAGTGCCCCAAATGTCCACGTAAGTCAGCCAGCCTCATCCTATGCACCTCGCCCAGGCGTGGCCTTGGGGCTTGCGGGGGGAGGGATGGGTGCCCAAGAGGAGGTCCACCCAGGGGCTGACTCCCTACCGTGTCTCCCCGACCAGCCCCTGAGCTCCCAGGAGGACCGTCCGTCTTCATCTTCCCCCCGACACCCAGGGACACCCTCACAATATCCCAAACACCCGAGGTCACCTGCGTTGTGGTTGACGTGGGCCACGAGGACCCCGATGTCCAGTTCTCCTGGTACGTGGACGATGCAGAGGTGCACACGGCCAAGACGAAGCCAAGGGAGGAGCAGTTCAACAGCACCTACCGTGTGGTCAGCGCCCTGCCCATCCAGCACCAGGACTGGCTGAAGGGAAAGGAGTTCAAGTGCAAGGTCAACAACAAAGGCCTCCCGGCCCCCATCGTGAGGACCATCTCCAAGGCCAAAGGTGGGTCAGGTGGACGG